GGGGGGGGGGGCACAAAAATATCGTTTGCGTATTGTCAGTCTCTCCCCACCCCACCCCCTAACATGTTTGAATCACCAGCTAGTGGTATTTTACTGAAGCCAGAATGAGACGAGAGCACATGCGAGCCGTAACGCGGTGGCTGAACAGTTCTGTATGAGAGTGTAAGTAGCGAAGGTAGTACACCCCCTGATTGGAATGGTATTTGCCAATCCGGGGTCAGCATGCCCGATGATTGAACTACCACAGCCTTTGTTCTAGAATAGACACAACTTTCCACACTATTCCGCGTCCTACCTCCTTGTTGAATCTGTTAAAGTTGACGGATTCTACACAGCTGGTGGCAGCGGTGGGTACGACAGTGGTACGGTGGGTACGACAGTCTCTGCCGCATAGTATGCCATATCTGTAAGCTAACCCAGGTTTGTAGCAAAATTCTTTTCTCTGGGTCCACATCTGTTCTACGCAGTGCATCAGTAAACACCGCAACACCATGAGTCAAGAGCGACCTTCGTCCTTTTACTTCAAGGGAGTGCGGTTCCACAATTATGCGAACCTAAAAGCCTTGGAACTGGTCGAGTCATTTGAAGTAAGAGACGACGACGTCTTCATCTCGGCTTACCTTAAATCGGGTAAGATTCTTCACATTTTGTCTTCTTCTAATGTTCTTGCATCTTTTTCATCTTCTACCTTTGTCAGACTGCATGCCCTGTATCTGTATAGCCAATATGATGCTGATGCTGACCAGCTAGACAGATGATATGCCAGGGGAGTTTGCCCGCGTTATAAAATAACAGTTTGCCACTCCCGAACTGTACTCTTAGCCAGGTCCGAATCCCCAGGCATATCACCTGTCTGGTTTGCATATTTCTCTTCTTTCCAGTCGCTTCACGAAGCCTTGAAGATACAATACAATCTTACTCAAAACCTGTTCCGAAATAAAACATAAACAACTGCTATCATCATATAGACACTAATATAGTTATACATTCGTAATATATCTGAAGTTAACTAGCATAATTGTAGCGATAGTTCAAATAACGTTATATGTACCATCACTGCTACTAAATGCTATTACATCAATCATTCAAAAGCCTTCTATCTTACTATCATCTCCTTCCTCTCTTTCAGGAACAACATGGGCACAACAGATCGTTTCTCCCTCTACAAGTGCGTACGCCTTGGCTGGAGTCGCTGGATGGAGAAGGAGAGCCCATGCCGATACCACTAAACAGCGCCCCCTCTCCGCGACTGATAAAAACGCACCTGCCCTACCACCTGTTACCCCAGCAAGCCAGGGACGGGAAAGGAAAGGTATTCACCGATATTTAACACTTTTTGAATTGTAGCTGTGAATGAGAGAAGTTTTATCCGTAAACGATTTCATCAAGTTGGTGAATGATTCAGAAGACAGAATGACCCAGATACTTGTTACAAAGCCACGTAAGCAACAAAAATAGCAATGTACTTTATTTACAATATTACAACCGGTTGTTTAACACGAAATGTCGACCCTTGTGATACAAGTGGTTGTGTGTAGAGAACTTTGGTGGTCAAGTACTTCTCCAAAAACATTAGGTTAATGACCTGGACCTGTCACTATGGTAACTGATGCTGTATAGCTGACACCCTGTGGTGTTGGGTTACATTATGTAGCAGGACAGATCTGGAGGGGGCCTAAGAATATAGATGAGTAAAAATAAACACAGCAGTAGCAGTTTTTGTAGCATTGTGTATTTTTTTTTCAGAAATGTGAGCTAGAGTGAAAAAAAATACATCTTTCTTTCTTTCTTTCTTTCTTTCTTTCACTAGATCATCTACTGCGCTCGGAACGTCAAAGATGTGGTCGTTTCGTTGCACAACATGAGAAGGATGGTGCAAGATTTTCCCTGTGGAACCTGGGAGGAAAACTTCCAGGAATTTATAACTCCGGAACTAGGTCAGTATCTAGGTGCATGTATCAAAATCTCAGGAACTATAAGGTGATGATAAATATCCCTTTTTGATTGTATTTATCTCAAATATTTTGACATGTCATGTGAGGGGGATGAATTGAATTCTTATGATTTTCAGTATGGAGGTAGCTTGGATATACTTGGATATCGAATATGCAAATTACGGCTTAATTTAAAGTTACATAATCAAAGTCGTGTTTTATGAAATGTACAGCTTTCTACGGTTTCTGGTGGGACGTCATCCCGGAGTACTGGCGACACAAGGATGACGACAACTTGCTCTTCATCAAGTATGAAGACATCAGGCGGGTAGGTTTAAAATTTGAATTGCATATCAATACTTTCTGCAAGTATGACGGACAAACTTAAAAAATATCCTTCGACAAAGTCCGTTCTCTAAGTCGAACACGTTCCAACAAGTTCGATCTGACGTCATTTAAACAGAACGCATGTTCTATTTGGGGTCACTGTTGATCATTCATCACTGATGGGTCAACGCTGTTTGGATGCATTCTTTATGTGATTTGAATGGGGTCTTGATAACCACTGGTGCGTTATGGCGTCATGCCAATGTGAAATAGGGATAATTTGTGATTTCAGGTTAGTCAAAGTCAAGTTTTTCATCCTGAATATTCGACGGTGTACATGTGTACGTAGTACCTGCGAGGCCACGTGGTAAAGATCGCAAGCTTCCTGGGGAAGACTCTGTCAGACCAGCGAATCGACGACGTGGTGGCGAACTGTACCTTCTCCGCTATGAAGAAGAACCCATCTACAAACTATTCCCGTGACCCAATGCTGCAGTGGTTTTTCAGCAAGCCGGAAGGAAGCGGAATTGAGTTCTTACGTAAAGGTACTTGAAACTGCATTCAATGTCCTTGTTTTGTTCGAGCTATGTATAATTCCATTTGATACCTACAGTGTATGTATGACCAAGGAATAAACCGCAGAGCGAGTGAAGGGAGAAAGAGGGAGAGAGAGAGAGAGGAGGGGAAATGTAGACATTGCTGGCGAGCCGTTACATGTATTGTAACAGTTATGAATCTCCTGTGCTTTTCCTTAGGAGAGGTCGGTGACTGGAAGAACTGGTTCAGCGCTGAGGAGAACAAGATTCTAGAGGTCATCCACAAGGAGAAAATGGCGGAAACAGATCTGACCTTCCAATTCGAGTAGTGTCTGTTGCTTGCCAGTGACCCCAAATGGAACATGCGTTCTGTTGGAATGACTTCAGATCGAACATGGCGGAACCATATATAGATCAGGGTTTGCGTAGTGTCTGTTATGGTACGGTCACGTCCGTCTTTAATAGACCGTCGTTCGATTTTGATGACAATGGCAATGAACTTTATCTGTTATTGTAAATTCATCCACGCCCTACATGGGTCATAATGGGTCATATGCACTAAGGTTATTATATATAATAGATAACTGAGGTACAAGGGTAGGTGGAAGAAGTGCTGCATTACTGTGAAACAAGCATGAACAGTTTTTAATTTACATCGATATCGTAGTCTTATAATGACATAATTTGTTTGAACATTTTTTTTGGTAAGTGCATATATTTCTGTTCTACTTGTAAGGAACTAATAAAAGATTATATAATCTTCAAGCGGACATTTTGGTACCTGCAAGACAGTATCGAATTGGCAGGGCAAAATCCGTTTGAATGGTAAAAACAAGATACCATTATTTTGTTGTGACCTGTACTTTTTTTTTATTCCAACATGTAATCACCAGACGTGGTGACGACACACTCAAGTTTCTTCAACTTATTTAATACCGCCACCAACACAGGGGACAAATACACGACAGGACAATACCCATTTACACCTGAGCTAAGTGAGGAAAGTCGTTCCGAGTCGCGCACTCTGCCGCTACGCCACACGACCTGTACTTAATCCAATGGGTACAATGTATGACAACAATAAAGGTCTTTTGTAGTTGGTATATTTTCGGACTTATGTCCAGTATTTGGGTGAATGATATGAACTTACAGATGTGCCAAGTTCGTACGGAGTTAGAGATAGTTAAAAGTTACGTAATCGGGATTTTGCCAGAAGTACGAAGATGACGTAGATGCATATGACGTGGCCTTGGTGACGTGGCAAATTTCGTACAGGGGCCGGGCAAGTGTGTAAACGTTACAAGGCACATTTTGACAGTCTGCAAGCGGACGCCCTCTCATGTCGTAGTACTGGACACGTGGCGTGTTAGCCTAAACTTCGTTCAATTTACATAGATTGACTGCTAACTTCGTTCACCTGACCGTCACCCCTGGACCACTTTCACTCAGGTGTTTGAAGTGGCTTATATCACTCGACCATTAGTTACAGTGAAAACGGACAGAGATTCTAAAAGTTACGTACGTGTATGCAGGTCTATTAAACCTAATTTTAACTTCGTACTAATTCATACCAATCACACAATTTTTGAACATAGTTCGAAAACATTGCAGCGCTCAAACTTAAAGCTTCCCACTTCGTTTGTGACTCATAAATACACAGAATAAACGTATACATGTAGAACGTAGGCAAGAAAGACCAGTTGGATCCTTCCGGTAGAAACGTGCGTCCGCACGGTCAACGACCGCACGGTCAACGACCGCACGGTAGCACATGACGTTGCGCCATTCTTTTACGGTATGACGTTGCACAATTTACGGAAAACTATAAAAGGAACAGTGCTAACGTTGGCCTGCCAGAACTAGTACCAGAACTGACTATGAGTCTTTCAAGTCCTCCACTCTGTCCGCCTTTCTATTACAAAGGCGTCCGGTTCATGCCTTTTGCCGATCGACGGGCGGTAGAACTGGTGGAGTCATTTGAAGTGAGAAAGGATGACGTTTTCGTGTCAGCTTACCAAAAGTCAGGTAAGGCACAGGTGT